ATGAAAGTCAGAAGTAGCTGCTTGGCAGAGCTTTGCTCTATGGCAAATACTAGTGGTTTTTTTGTTTGTTTGTATGTTTGTGTTTGTGGGTGATGTGCTGTGTATAGAGGGGAAAGGAGTCTGTTGTTTTCATTCCTATTGTTCTTATGTCTGGGTAGCACGGTGAGGTGAGATACAGAGGACTGGCTGGAACTGGACCCCCCCCTCACAGAATCCCACAGTCTGTGGGTGTGTTCCTGGCCTGGTCCACATGGGTTTCATCAGCACCTTCCAGGGGATGGTCATGTACACTTACTGCTGGGGCAGACCCATCCTGGGACCACAGGGTCAAGCCTAGTGCTGAGGCCAAGTCAGGCAGCAACCCCATAGGCTGTGTGGTCCTGACGCAGAAAACTGTATCTCTTTGGCTACATCAGGCTTTTGATAGTGTGAGGAGGATGCAAACAGTGTATGCTGCCATTTGTGCTTCTCCCAGATCCTGAGCAAACTCAAGGGGCTGGCACTGGACACAGAGGCGGAGCTTGAACGCCAGGACGAGGCTCTGGATGGCATCACCGTAGCTGTGGACCGAGCAACCCTGACTGTGGACAAGCATAACCGGCGAATGAGAAAGCTGATGTAGTGGGGCAAGCGGCCACACAGCCACCCCTGGCTCTCCTGATCCCGCTGTTGGTAGCCCTGTGCCTTTTGCACTGGGACCTGGGACACCCTTGTTGGTGCTGTGCAGCTGTGAGGCCCTGCTGGGAACTACACCTTCCTAGGATGGGCCAGGAGGAGCCACGGCATGCATGAGCATGATGTGTTTAACAGGTGCCCTCAGCATGTGGGCCAAGCCCTGTTCCGGCAAGGATGGCCACCACCGTGCAGCCGTCCTTGCTGTCCACACTGACACCCCAGCTTCCTGCTGCCATTGTGGGGCCAAGGCCCTGGTAACCTTACACAAGTCACATCACATTGTCATCTTTCCACCATTTTTGCCAGAGTGTCAAGAAAATGTCAGTCATTCTGAGGGAGATGTGAGTACTTGGTCTAGCTCTGCCATTCACTGGCCACACACACTGGTTCCCCCTCAGATGCTGCTGTAGCTCCCCTCCACCTCCCCCTGCTCCTCAGTTAGAGTTCTCTAGAGGAGCGGGACCAGCAGCCTCTATGTGTGTATAGTAAAGAATGTTAATTAGATTGCTGACATCATAGGGGCTGTGTCCACAACAGCATGTTCACATGGAGAGACAGAGAACACTGTGGCTGCTCAGTCCAAGAATCTGGACCCCTCAGCAGCCCAGTGCTGAAGGCCTGGCTCCTGGAGTCAGTGGACCTGGTTTGCTGTAACAGGTCAGAGTTAATGGAGGCTGGTGTGAGCAGAGGACGGTGGCCGCCATGTGCTCTCACCCAGAATGGGGGCCTGCTCGCTCAGCACTCACTGCCTTCTTCCGCCTCCCATGTAGGCTGCCCACAATCAGGACAGCCCCTTTTCCTAGCCAGTCTCTCTGGAAGCACCGCCACAGACACACAGGAATGCCTCACCACCCCTGGACAGCTCTAAATCTAGGAAGTTGATGGCCAAGACCAGTCACCCTCCTGGCCAGGCCGTGGCAGACAGCCTTTGTCTCCACGTGCATGGTGGCTGCCTGACGTCAGGAGTGCAGCCCACTCCAGTGCAAAGGCCTCAGCAGCAGCAGTCTCCGCTCTCACCTGAAGCAGTGTCCTGACCCAGGCTGTTCAGAATGTGACTAGTTGCCTGGTTAGAAGTGGCCCAAGCTATGTCTTACTGTTGCCCTTTGCTTAATTGTGCGTTCTCAGTGTCCTGCTTGTGGCTACTTCCACACGCCTTGGCACAGTGGGCCACTAGGACTCACTCATCAGCTTGTGTAGGTGGGGAGAGGGTCTTGTGAGTTAGTTTGCTTTTTGAGACAGGTTCTCACTCTAGTCCAAGCTGCCCTCAGACTTGCAGCAATCCTCCTGCCTCAGCCTCCCAAGTGCTAGGATTCTAGGTATTTGTTGCCTCACCTAGCCCTTCTTGTGTTTATTTAGTGGCTATAAGATGGCTGCTGTGGAGATGGCTGCCTGCAGTGTGTAGTGATGAGCTCAAACAGATACATTCACAGCTCTCAAGCATTTGTGAGTCCTGTATGCTGGAGCCGCTGTGCTCTTCCCTTCACTCTTTATGAAGAGCATAGTGAATGGCCAGGCACTGTGGCCTCCCTGACTTGTTCTGGAATGCTGGGGTTACTTCCTTCTCCTGTCCACCTGTCCTTGGTCCCCATTATCCAGCTTTCTCCTTCAGTTCTCCCCACCCCTTCCCTTCCTCTGCTCCCCCCCTCCACTCAGTGCTCCTGTGAGATGCTGACCTTCCAGCACTTGTCTCTCTGTGCCTGGCTCTCTTCCCAAGGCTCCATGTTCTCTGGGTTTAGCCATGCTGTTGCAAATGAAGGGATTTCATGCTTTTCCCCACTAAGCACTGATCCATATACCTATATCATGATGTCTGTTTTTGTTAGTGCTAAGAACCCAGCTCAGGGCCTTGTGTGTGTTAGGCATGCACTTCCCCACTGAGATATATTCCAAGCCCTTGACCCTTTGAGACTAGAGCTCACACCCATCCCTAGCTGACTTCTCACTCGAGATCTCCCCTCCTCTGCCTCCTGAGTGCTGGGATTACAGACCTGTGCCCCGATGTTTTGTCTGCCTCACCCCACCCACCTTTTTGAGTGTCACTTCTTTAGGTCTCACTATGTAGCCCTGGCTGGCCTGGAACTCACCATGTAGACCAGGCTCTCCTCTAACTCACAGAGCTCCTCCTGCCTCTGTCTCCTGAGTGCTGCGATTAGTGGCATGTAGCACCATGCCTGGCCTAGGTCAGTACTTTCATTGTGCTTGCATAATAGACAGTTTTTGGGAGGAGACCTCTACCAGACAGGCCTCAGACTGGCTTCAAATCCTGCCTCACCCTCCTGAGTGCTGGGAATGCTGGTCTGTTGCCACCATCTGTCTGCTTTTGATAGAAGATAGATGTTCGCCAAGCCTCAGAGCTTACAGGATCTTCCTGAGGAACCTTCTCTGTAGACCTGTGAGGTAGAGCCTGTATGCAGAGCAGAGCAAGGCTGCCACAGCATACGATGGAGACGCTCAGAGATGACCGACCTGGACCACCTGTACACTGTCTTCCCGTCAGTTCACCCGGCAGACACGCTGCCTGAAAGACCGCAGTGAGGTTCTTATTTGCAAGCATAAGGAGAAGCTGATTCCAGAGTAGGACGATGGGAAAACACAGGGATTGTTGGAGCAGGAGACACCACCAAGCACATCAAATGTGGATGCAAAGACACCCTCAACATGAACTACATGCCAGAACCTGCACCTCACCATCAGTAGTGCACAGCACACAGCAAGTGGAAAACGCCTGTGTGTCCATCCACACCGCGCTTGACTGCTGGCTCAGAATGGAGAGTTCAGCACTGCTGGAATGTCACTGCCTGCAGGACACACAACTTCCTAGTGACTTGTCCATTGCAGGACCCAAGCAAGGATGGTGCTGGTCTTCGTACCACAGGGCCTCTCACTGGGGTGGAGTCTCCGCTGACTCTCACAGTCACAGTCATCTCACAGTTGGGTCTCCTATGTCCCTGACTCCTCAATATAGTCTGCAGAATCTGGTGATCTCGTTCAGCTTTCCCCAGTTAGGTACCTAAAGGCTCCACAGACTCAGAACACAGGCTGAGAACCATGTCTTCCGACACATGAGCCCACAAGGAACGTTTCATATACAAACTATAGCATCACACAGACAAAATCTAGTCAACAGTAGCCCTGCCTTGTTCTTAGAGACCGAGAGCTCAGAAACAACAAAAACAAAACAGCCAGGCGGTGGAGGCGTGCGCCTTTAATCCCAGCACTTAGGAGGCAGAGGCAGGTGGATCTGAGTTCGAGGCCAGCCTGGTCTACAGAGTGAGTTCCTAGACAGCCAGGGCTACACAGGAAAACCTTTTCTTAAAAAAAAAAAAAAAAAAAAAAAATTAAGGAAAGAAAGAAAGAAAAACAAAACCAAGGAGGCAGAGTTTCAGAGAAAGAGTAAGTTATTTAAATGGAATAACTTTTATTTTTCTTATTAAACTGTCAGGTAAGTTTACTAAAAATAAATTATCTACCATATCTGTGTGTATGTGGATATACAGAGTGAAATGAATGACAGCAATGATACGAAAGATGATGGGTAGAAGGAATTAGAAATATTTCGTAATTTTAAAAATTTATTTTCACTTGTTTGTAACGTTTGCCTGGATATATGTATGTGCACCTCATGCATGCGTAGTACCCACAGAGGTCAGACAATTGTTGGATTCCCTGGGACTGGCGTTACAGATGCTTGTGAGCTGAGACTCGAACCTGGGTCTTCTAGAAGAGTCTCCAGTGCTCTTAACTACTGAGCTATCTCTCCAGCTCCCTGCCTTTTATTTTTGAGACAGGATCTCACTGTGTAGTCATGGCTGATGTACTTTCTGGGTTGAACAGGCTGGTTTCAAATTCACAGAAATCCACCTGCCTCTGGCTCCTGAATGATGACATTAAAAGAATTTGCCCTACATCCAGCTTGTAATTACTTTTTATAATTAATTTATTATTTGGCAGTATCTTATATGTATGCATTCCCCCTCCTCTTTTCCCCAGATCCCCACAATGTGCTTCATTTTATATGTGTGTGCGTACACTGAGTCAGATTGCTGTCTTCACAGTCGTGAGTGTAAAAACATCAACTGAGACATGGACGGTGTACCAACAACCACACCCCTGAAGAAAACTGACTTCCTGGCAGCCATCAGTTGTCAGTAGCTCCTCAGTTAGGAGTGGGGCCTCAGAAGCCTCTTCCCCATTCCTGCTGGAATTTCAATGGCTTCATTTTATGCAGGTAATCATAGCTAATCATAGCATAATCTGACTGTTGCGTGTCCCAAAGCCAGTATTTCACACCCCTCTCTCCTATGGCTCCTACAATCTTTCCAGCTTTTTTTCTGAAGTGTCCCTGAGCTTTGAGGGTTGGGGGTTGATACAGATATTCCATTTATAGTTGAGTACGCAATGATCAGTTATTTTTGACCAGCTATGACTCTGCATTAACTACAGCTCAGAGCAGCTCTAATCTATGGATATAAACAGAAATATTTAGGTGGTAGTCTGACAACATGAGTATTTAGCAAAGCAGCAATGGGTTCCCAACCTAGGACCCACGACCTCTCCAGGCACAGGCTTTGCACTGTGTTTATATTACCAGGCAAGAATTCCCTCCTGTGGAGCAGACTTCAAATACAATCAGAGAGAAACTAGTTAACTCTCCCCCCAACCCCCCGTCATACCGCTATGCACAATGAATACTTCTTGTATGGCAGGTCAATATTGTAGCATAAGGCCTATTGCTTATCTTTCCACCTTTAACAGCTTGTGCACCTTCTGGCACTGTGAAAGCTAACCAGCAGGGAAGAATTTTTCTAGTTACTTCCAGCCTGTGTCCTTCAACCAAAGTATGTAATGTTTTAAGCAATAGGGTCTCATCCTCTGGTCAGGTGGACAGCCGTAATAAAATGAATCCATTTATACTCTCACCAGTGTGTGTACGTGTTCTTTTTCGTAGCCTCACCAACATCATTTGTTTTCTTGATTTGGTGTGGTGAAGTAGATTTAATTTGCAGTCCCATAGTGGCTAGTGATATTAAACACTTTTAAAATGTTTATCAGCTATTTATACTTCAACTTCTTTTTTAGATTTTTTTAACCTGCATTGAACTGTATGCACCATGTGTGTGCCTGTCGGACCCCCTGGACTGGAGCTATGAATGACTGTTAGCCTTCACATGGGGGCTGGAAGTCTAACCTGGGACCCCTGCAAGAACAACAAGTACTTTTAATCCCTGAGTCATCTCCCCACACCTCCCCTCCCCTTGTTTTTCTTTGGGGCGTTCGAGAGAGGGTTTCTCTGTGTTGCCCTGGCTATCCTGGAACTCCCTGTATAGAACCAGGCTAGCCTCAGATTTACAGAGATCACAGGCGTGGGCCCCTGCATCCAGTTTATGCTCCTTATTTTTAACTCTAGCAGTTGTGGAGTGTCAGGTCTTACGTAGAGGCCCATGATCCATTTGGAGTTGATGTGTGCAGGGTGAGAGTTGTGAGTCTAGTTTCAACTTTCTCATGTACCATTTGTTGAAGATACCGTCTCTTCTCTCATGCGTATTTTTGGCATCTTTATCAGACATTTGGTGGCTGTAGCTGGATGGCCTTATATCTGGGTCCTCAGGTCTATTTCATCAGTCCATGTGTCTGTGCCAATACCCTGCTCTTTCTGTCACCATGATTGTTCTGAATAAGTTGAAATTAGGTATGGTGATACCTCCAGCAATGTTCTTCTCAATGTTCCTTTGGCTGGGGTCTTTTGTGCTTCCAAATGAATTTTAATATTGATCCTGCCAATCCATGAGCATGGGAGGTTTTTCTTTCTTCTAGTGTCTTCAATTTATTTTGTGTTGGTGTTTTAAGTATTTCAATCATTTAGTAATTTCTGTAAAATTTCAAAGAAGTCTTTCACACCCTCAAGTTAAACTTACTCCAAGGTTTTTGTTTGTTGTTTTTTGGGGCTATCTTGAGTGCAGTCCTTTTCCTGACCTCTTTTTTTTTTTTTTCCTTCCAGTTTCTTATGGTTCTAATTGGAGTATAGGAAGGCTGATGGCTTTTTCTTTCAAAAGCCTGAGATCTTTTCTTTTCCAGATCCCAAAGCCACTTGCACGTATTTAGAGTTTTTGCTATAGCAATATCTACTTCCTAATAAGAACTATACTCATTTTTCTGGGTATGCCAGAATGAAGTTCCACAAATCACATGGCTTCAAATAACAGAATCTTATTATCAGTTTCCTAAGGCTGGGATTTGAAATCCAGGTGCTGGCAGTTTGTATCCTCAGCTAGGCTCAACGGAGACCTTCGGTGTAGATAGGTGGCAGAATTCAGTTTCTGTGCCGATAAGAGACCAGATTGCCAATTCTCTGGCTACCAGACAGCTCTCAGTCCCCCATTCTCTTCACAGCACAGTCTCCATAAAAGCAGCCACCTGGGCCCCCAGCTGTACTTCCTGGGCCTTCTCAAGTGGTGACGCTAGCCCAAGGGAACACTCTCCCTGTCTCAGAATCAACTCATCCTTGATTCCGTCTGCAGAGTCCAACCTAGACCTCATTAGTGTTTGGTCAGATAATTGAGAACATTGTGTGTACAACAGGGCTTGAAATATTGTGGCACCTAAAAATCTGCCTTTCTTTTTCCTTCATCCACAAAACCATTGTCTGGCCCTCACTGCTGACTCACTGAAATCTGGAAACTCTCCCAGTTAGTCTTTATTGTCAACTTCACATAACCTAGAGTCACCTGGGAAGAGGGAACCTCGGTGGAAAAACTGCCTTGATCAGATTGGCTTGTGGCCACTTCTGTAAGTGACTGCTTTTGACTGATGACTGATGTGGGCGGGCCCAGCCAGTTTCGGGCAGCGCCATCCCTAGGCGGGTGGTCCTGGGCTGTGTAAGAGATCTAGCTGTCCGTGAGCTTGAGAGCCAACCAGAGAGCAAGCCAGCAGGCAGTGCTCGTCCTTGCTTCTGATTCTAGTTCCTCCGATCATGGATTCTGAGCTGGAAACGTGTGCCAAATAACCCTTCCCTCTCCAGGTTGCTTTTGATCAGAGTAATTTATCACAGCAACAGAAAGGAAACTAGAACAGAAAGCTAACAGTCCCCTCTCACTTGCCCAGCCCCTGTTCCCTTCATTCCAAGCTGGCAGTGTTTCTGCCAGTAAAACATTCTCCCACAAGTCTCCGGTGCATGTCCTGGCTCTTCCTCAGTGCTGGCTATGCCGCGCTGTGTGTGGGTTTCCAGCAGTCCCTTCTATCTCGGAGCTTTTACCCCTGTGTTTACAGTGTGGAGCTATCCCAACTACCTGTGTACAGCAACGGCGTACAGATCCCAGCCAGGTAAGACCCTTGACCCAGGCCCAGTGTGTGCAGCCTTGAACTCCCTGCAGTCCCTTCATGCGCTTATATATGAAGCACCTGATGTCACCATCTATTCCTGCTCATGTCCAGGGTCTCCAGGTCCATGTAATGTCTGAGACAGAAAGGATACAGTGTTGCTGTGGGGAGCACCACTCTCTCCTTATCTGCCTCTCTCCATATCCTCAGTCCTTCCCACAAGACAACCTGCTCCTGTCATCCCCATGGGCACCTTTTACCACGAGCATCTCAGCAGAGTGGTGGCAGCGTGGCAGCCAGCTTAGAAACCCAGTGAGGGCCTGGGTGAGACAGCCACAACGGCTGCCACACCCAGGGGGATGGAGGGCATTTTTTGTTCTTGCTTTGTTGACTTACAGTGAAAAGGCTGGGTGCAGGCATAGCCCATTCACTGAGCTGTCGGGATTTGTTCCACATGTGAGGCGTGTTTTTAATTTAATGGTTTATATCGTGGTGGATGGTGTTTACAGCAGTGAAGTCAGTGAGAGATGGAAGCACTGTGGGTTCAGAACTCTTGCTTGGCACACAGGCTGGTCTGAGAGAGAATATCATGTCTGGCTTGGTGGTCATGGGTATAGGTCACCTGAGGGGCAAAGCAGCACAAGGGAGGAAAAAGCCAAGAGGCAGAAGGGCTGGGCCTCTTTGATCTCACTGGTCTCCACCTTGAAATCCCAACCTTTCCCATCGGCAGGAATCAAGACAGTTTTGTCTGTAGCTAACCCCGGCTCTGCACACTGTGCTGTGCAACTGGAAACCGTGAGGACAGAGAGGTTCCCAGAGTCAGAGTGATCTGAAGCAGACAGCCTCCATCTTGCGGGGAATGAACTTGAGTGCTCTGGATCCTTTATAACCCTGCAGTTCAAAGTGCCATCTTCCTAGTCCCACTTAACATTGGTCCCAACCTCCAAGAAGACACCAGAGGAATCTGCTTCTCCTGGCTGTGGCATCATTCAACAAGCCCCTGGTCCCAGGGAAGAAGGAGAGGGCTTCCTGGAGGCTGGAGCCAAAGGGGGGAAGGAACAAATCAGGGCAGCAGAAAAAGTCAGGTCCCAGTTCTTTCCCAGAGAGGGAAGGCTAGCTGGGGAAAAGGATCACTACCCTGTGGGTGTGTGTGTGTGTGTGTGTGTGTGTGTGTGTGTTGGGGTGACTTAATGGAATTGGCACTGTACCCACACATCCACAGGGAATGTCTTATAAGAACCCAGTGGTTGCCTGAAGCCACACACAGTATCTGGCTTGACTTCTTCTGTCTCTGCCATGTTCAGGAATTAAAAACAGCTAGCTGGGTATGGTGACACATATTTGTAATTCCAGCACTTAGGAGGCTGAAGCAGGAGGATCGCAAAGAGTTTACTGCCCATGCCCCAACCCCCAATATTCATACCCAGATCTCAGAAAGCACTACAAGCTGATTTCTTAATTTGTTTATTACACCGTGAATTTCACCTTTTCACCTGAAGGAAGCGCTTTTGTGGCTGGTCTTTGGTGTGTGGTGACAGTTGATCTGATCGTGGAAATAGCTACCAGGTCTCTATGGGTGTGGATAATGCA